ACACACACACACACACAGGTGAGCCAGAGGAAGGTTTCCTAAAGAGCACCGCTCACTCTTTGCTGGATAAAGACAAATCCATCTCCCTCTCTCTCCTTTTTCTTCCCCCACACAGTCTTTTCTCTCCCTGAATGCCCATCCCCCCCATCAACTGAGGAGAGCCCTGGTAAATAATTGAGGCATATTCCCACTCTGATACTGTAGCTTCCTTCCCAAAATTAGGTTATTCTGATCTAGAAACACAGACTGATACAAATAGAGATTATTGTGATGTACAAAATGATGAATGGTGGTTGCTGTCCATGTAGCCCATGTGTCAGAAAATAAGGATCCTTGAGTATAAATAGGAAAAAGAAACGCCAACAAAAGTCTCTACACCATCAGCTATAGAGAACCACCATTTCCCATTTTTTCAATATTTCACGTCCCCTACTTGCTTCATCTTGATGAGGGCTTTTCCAGCCAAGTGGTCTAGCCAATCCAGCAGCTACCATATATATGGCCAAAGCTGAATATATGCAGCACTGGACAATATGAATGGTCCAAATGATGCATCACGTCACTGAGTCTGAGAGGCATCTGTGCTGTTAAGTTTCCCTCACTAATGCACTGAAGCTCTTGTGGTTCTATAATGAGGTGTTTGCTGACACCTGCTGTTTCAAAGCATGTAGTTACGTATTTACCCACATACATACAAATACATTATATACATACATACATACATATTCATATGTGTGTATATAGACCTATGTACATAAAGACATACATATACACACACATGAATACGCAAGATACTTTGCTTTTTGTAATCATGCACACAACTCATACAATAAAGAAAGAGACTGCTGCAGGTTTATCTTGAGCATCTTCTTTTTATAAATATTTGAATATTTTTGTCCATCCATAAAAATGTGAAACATAATTGAATTATAGTCTATATAAAGAGAGGAAACAGAAAACAATCAGTGAGCTGTATCAAACATGGCTCGCTCATATACACCAATCAAAAGTCAAACCAACACGTAAGACAGGAGGGCATTTAAAATGAGACATAAGGCAAAGAGGCTTAAATGGTAAATGCCTGAGATTAAAAATCTTTTTAACACATGTACTAAAACCACGGGAAAATAAAACCCAAATTCCAAAATATAAAACATAAGACCACATGATGGATCTGTGTAACTCCAGCTCAAACGTTCTTTTTCTAACAGTGTTTCGTACTATTCAGCAGGTGATAGTGTTAAGAGCAACAAGAAAAAAATATTATTCACCTTTGGCTTTTTTAGTGCAAACTAGGATGACTTTAACAGCAACTTAGACTCAACCAGGGCTTCATCCTGCTTGATGTTGAGACATACAGTATGCCTAAATTATAGAGTACATTCAGATTGTATTAACCATCTGATCGACTTTCAAGTCACGATCTCTCTCAAATGTGCAATTCAGCATGCAGCAATGGCACCTGTATATAAATAAAACTCTTAGAAATTAAAAAATAGTTCCAGTGGTGCAACTTACAATCATTAGGGAAGCTTTCTGTATCATAATGTGCTCTAAATATCCTCTAATGCAACTCAGTTATGAGTGAAACAGGTTACTTATACTCTGGTGTAGCAGTTAACTGTCTCGAGCAACAGTCTCCGACGTCTCTTCCACCGTAACACTGGCGGAGCTTGAGGGCTCGTAACTAGTATCTTGCACCTCTGGGATACTCAGGCCGCTCAGGTTCTCTGTGGTGACTTCAAGCCCAACGAGGTCATCCGCAATCTCTTTGCTCGGAGAAGCGGCAGTGATCATGTCAAGAACAGGCCCCTGCTCGGTCTCCTGAGTGTCTGATTCGTCTTCCCTCTCTGGAGATGAAGGTCTTTGGTCAACAGATGAGGTATCTGTCAAAATAAATGAACAAGTGTAGTTAAAAACTTAAACTCAGATTGTTGCACTTCTGGCCACAGCAATGATGATTTTAAAAAATGCTCTGCTATTGCTATTTAAGCTGTGTTGCACATATATTCATATATCTAGCATTTTGGAACACTATTCTTGTGCGGCAAGCATGAAAACTAATTTACCAACAAAGCGATTAAATGAAGCCAGACGTGAGGCGTGCAAACAATAGCTGGTTTTAACTCCTTTTTTTCTTTTCAAGCAGGATGGCATTAAAAACATGTAATTGTCCTATTCAGCTGCACAATTAAATCACTTGCAGAGGGTGTGTAAGCACTTACCCAAGCTACACTGATCACCAGAGTCATCTCCATAATTAGCGAACATGGAGCTCTGGCCCATGTCACTGGTGGAAACCATGTCTGACAAATCTGGTGTCATCGCTTCGGGTATGTTGGAAATATCTGCAATTCACAAAGGACAAATGTCCATTTCACTCCGAGTACATCAACTAAATTAGAAAAAAACAAAATTAAAATTAGATTGGGTTACCTAAATCTACAGCTGGCTGCGTGGGTGAGATTACACACAAGTCCTGCGCAGCTCCTTTGATTTGATTCAAATCTATTTCACTGACGCTAGAAGGGCTACATGCAGCCACTGAAGGCACCTGAGAACAGAGAGAGTTTCAGACAAAGGAAAAAACTCTCCACCAAAGAACATTTAATAAAAGAGAGACGTGATAAGTTGTACCTCAGTGTGGTCACTCGCAACCAGCTCTTCACTGCTGCCAATCACTGCGGATTGTAGAACATTTTTGTTCTGGGAGTTAGGCTGAGCTGGACGAGTCGGGATTCTGTGCAAGTAGCCATAGCCGATGCCACAGCCTAAGCTAGGATATCAGGCAAGCAGGAGAAGGGCATTAGTATAAATGTTTATTGTGCTTGCACATATAAAGGTGAAATGATAAGAAAAAGGTTGCAGCTATTTCTATCAATTTGAAGACATAATACCTACCTTCCCTCTCCTCCCCACGCTCCATTTGGAGTCACCACTACCTCTCTGCACTGGTCAGTCTGTGTGTTGTACACCAGCAGCTTCAGAGGTTTCCCCTCATTGGCTTCAATCAAAGAAAAGAAATCCTCTGACTGCAAGTGTTTCACAAAAAGAGAGGAACATGAAATTTGGTGCAAAATGTTGTCCGCATTTTTATATACATTAATAAAAACAAAAAAACAGCAAAGCTTACATCCTGTAACACCTGGTCAGCTCCCACAATGAAGTCATCGTGAGCAATGAGGCCGGCTATAGCTGCGGGAGAACTGGCTTCCACATCCTAGAAAGGGAAAGACGGTTATGAAGACATGTTTATTTGAAACCACTATCTTACTGTTAAATGGGAATTTATGTATGAGAATAACTACCATTTGTCCATTTGGTAGTACCAACCCAGAAATAAGACTTTTTTGGTTAGGACCAGCAAATTTGGCACAAAGGTTAAGTAGATTTGGATTCCTTTGTCTTCTTTAATTGCTTTAACTCACACAAAAATACTAAAAGAAAATGTGCTGGCTACTACCTAGTTGTATATCAGGCCAGAAAGATTTTACCATATGCAAGTTAAACAAAGAAAGTTAAAGAATAGCCCCTATTAAGGCTAAATGTGACTTACCAAGACATGCCAAACATTCTCATTGGCTCCTTCAAAGCTGCAGAAGCGGACACTAGCGCCCAGCAGACCCTGACCACCCCACATGTTACTGGGTGTCACTTCCAGTTCCCTCACCCGCTGGGTTTTCGAGTTGTACACTTCAAGTTTGACCACTTTCTCCACATTGGCTTTTAGAAGGTCTTTCAGCAAGTCGCTTTCTTTATTCTGGAGAAACAGAGAAATATATATCGACCGTTCCAGCGGTGACACAGCAGAGACGATGAACCAGTTTTCATGTAAAAGAACATGAAATGATAAAAATAGCCGACGGCATGGCTACTTTTTGTCCTGAGGCTATAATTCAGGCCTGATGTTTCAGTTTTATTGTGGGGAAAGAGAAACTGGCTATCAAACAGTGTTTGCAGTAAAAACAGGCACAGACATACGCATCTTAACAAAACTGTACATGACATCACACTAAATCCTTAAAACAGAGGAGTTTATATTTGTTGTCCCATAAAATATTATGTAAAAGTGCAACTTCATAGAAAAATCCACACAAACAGTTGACGAGCAAAGCAAATTTGAAATTGTGGTTCATAACTACATGGTAGCATGTTAAAAATAATAAAATTTCATAAAAATTCATAAATAGTTATAAGTTATAACAATATTCATCAATGCAGCCATTAAAATGACCTTTAATTTCACAATTATGTTCATGAGACAGCGAGGCAAAGATTTCTTCTATTTCTATTCGATGCTAGTACCCATTCAAAACAACCCAATGTTTGTCATTTGGTAATAGTTTTTAAAAGTGTTGAGCAGACATGCCAAACCACCAAAATGCATCGTGGGAGTTCACTCACAAGTCTGGTATTTCCTATAGAGAGAATGAAGTCAAAGAAGGGCTCCAGACCGGCCCTGAGAGCAGGTGAGTCCTCCTGAACCTGAAATGTGGAAAAAAAAAAAAAAAACACACATTTGAGATTTGTTTGATTTGACATAAACAGGCTGTTACAGTCGCCCCCTTGCGTCCAATACACATACTGCATTGACCAGACTTTGGGGACCCTCATTTCCAGCCTTGTATTTCCTCCCATGCTGAATAACAGGTTGAATAACAGGTTGATATGTATGGTATGACATGTATCCCTTAATAACACCAGTGTGTGCAGTGAGTGCCGAACAGTTGCAGTCTCTAGCAGAAGCCAAACACCTTGGATGTTTGCCAAATGCCACCTCATCATGGGCGGACACCATAAAAGCTGACCACGAGTTCCTACAATAACCTGACAATTACAAACCAGCCGCGGTGTGTTTCTTCATACACAAATGCAGCATTAACATCTGCTCAGGGCGAGCCTAGTTAACAAGACAGTGACCTAACACTGGATAGCGTCAACCCAGAGTAATAGAGACGAACCGAGGGTTTGCCTGTAACCTTGCACCGCGCTACAACGTACCCCGTGGACGTGATATCCACTGTTAGCTCCCCCGTCCGACAAAAACGAGCTCTGCGGTAGCCCCATTGCCTTCACCGGTTCCGTGATACGAACACTAAGTGTCACTGAGGTAGAGTGGCGTTAGGAGTCATTACTGAAAGGTTTACGTCCGAGTCAAGGTAGCTAGCGCCGACAGCAGGCAGGTTGACAGCAGGCACCGCTGATAAATAAAGATGCCAGAAAAGTCGAGCTCGGTGGCTGCGATGATGTGCAGCGAACGGCGCTCGATTAGCCGGCCTTTGGCGGAGTGTGCTCCGCGGTTGCCTGGCAACGCTAGTGTAAAAACTTTAATTTCATTCATGATTTTTTTTTTGTACATTGGCGGATTATGCGTGATTAATTTAGACATTTCACCCAAATTATGACCTGTTTTAGTAAGAAACAGTTAACATGATGAACATTTATCATGGGTGCAGTCCCCCCCCCCCAAATTTCTGAAAAACATGAATTGTCCCCCAATATAAATACCCTAAATTATTCAAAATACCCTAACTTATTCAAATTGAAATTATTCAAAATTGAACAAATGTATTTTTTTTCTTCACATTCTTCACATTTTATTTTATAATTTTTTATTTTATCTAAAAAGAAATGATTGAAATGGTGGAACAAACAATGTTTGACAAATATATTTCTGACTCCACATTCCATCTCTGGTCTCCTCCACTACAATGCAAATGAATGGGTAGTTTCTTACACAGACGCTGATGATTTACTAATATAACAGTTAAGTAAGCAGTGATATGCACTGTTGGCTGTTTAGGACAAATAAACAAGAAAGGTAAGCACAATAAATGATTCCCTGTGCAGTACTTTTTGAATGATATGGCGAGCCTCTACGAAGTTGTTGATTTTATTGGGGGCCATGGTATGAGTTGCATACGGTCCCCCCAAATACTGATCGGATCTGCACCCCTGTTTATTATTAATTTGGTTAGAAAGACCCCCCCCCCATCTGTACAGATCTCA